CACCACTGGCTGTTCTGAAAAGAAGGCAGTAGAGGATGAAACCCTTGACAGTCAGCCCCAGGTGGTGTAAGAAGGGTAACAGCTCTCTGCTGAATAACTTCTTGAAATTTCAGACTGCTCAAGTCACTCTAACTCAGATGTCTGCTGCTCCCAGACTCTTGAGAAACAACTTCCATCCTCATCTGACACCTGTGGGGGTGCCCACTGTGGGGGCTCAGCACCCAGGTCCGCAGGCCCTGGGCCACAATGAGGAGCCTGTGTTCTGCTTTGAGGTGACAAGGTGAAGAATCATCTTTATCTGGTAATTCATTTTGAAACACCCACAGGCCAGGTGGCAGAGGTCCAAGAGGGAGTGAGGGCATCTCTGGCCAAAGCTGAGTGGATGGAGGGAAATTGCTGGGCAGGGGTATGACTGATTTTACAGCATTTAGCTTGCTGACCAGCAGATAATAAAGCTCACTGAAATCCCCTCATGCCTTTAGCCTGTGAGCTTTCATACCTACTCAGAGAAGCCTGTAAATCAGGGCCCTGAATGACTGCAGGGCTTCTGAATCCAGCCAAAGCCAGAACCCCTTCCTGCCCCCACTAGGATAGGTTTCAGCATGGACACTAGATTCTGTAGTACCTTTTGCAAATTAGCACACAATTTTACTAATTGTCCTAGATAAACAGACATAGTGCCAAGGGTGCATGGCTTAGTAAGTGGAGCCAAGACTGGACTTTGGTCCCCTCTTACTGCCTTAGCAGGATATGTTGTGAAATGTACAACCTGTGCAACATGCATGTCAGCCTTGCTGAAATTTATGATCTCCAAGGACAGTTTCTGTCCTGCCTCTGTAAAATGCACCCTGCAAGCATAGAGTTAGCATCACACCCAAGGGGACTAAGCAAGTAGCAATTAGAGAAGAAAAGGTAGTAATTCAGCTTCAATTCTACTTCCCTGGTGAAGCATTCTGCTCTAGGGGCTCAGGAAAAGATTTTGGACCCTTAGCAGCAATTCATCAGGTATTGAATAACCAACTACACAGATTTCTGATACGACACTCAGAGGGCTGGGCAAGTTTGAGGTCCCAAAGCCCAAACTAATAACCAGGAGTGTTGCTATTACCCCCTGTCTTACCATCCTCAACATCTTGGAGGAGGCAGCCTGGAAAGCATTGGTAGTGGACAAAGACGAGATTGGGATGGGAAGGCAGGGAGAAAATGAGTGGAGCAGAGGCTGGAGGTGGTGGAAGGGAATGGGGAAAACATATAGTGGAAAGGGATCAACAAGAAAAGAAGGCGGGGAAGTAGGGTGGGAAGGGACAGACTGGGAATTTGAAATTTGTAGATACTGACAGGTATATATAGAATAGATAAACAAGATTATACTGTATAGCACAGGGAAATATACACAAGATCTTGTGGTAGCTCATGGTGAAAAAGAATGCGACAATGAATATATGTATGCTCATGTATAACTGAAAAATTGTGCTCCACACTGGAAATTGACACAACATTGTAAGCTGACTATAACGCAATAAAATAAAATAAAAAAAGGAAAAAGAAGAGAGGTGAGCAGGGGGATGAGGTGTAGCTGGGGGATAAGGAAACTTGGCTGGATAATATTTTACCTTTTTCAGGTTGAAGTTAGCACAATCTAAAATGCTGAAAATGCTGAAGTTCTAGAGTGGTTATGGAGGACTTCTCTGAGGAGATGACATTTAGACTGAGAGCAAATGTTGAGAAGGAATTAGTGGGTGTAGTCATCTCTAACAGAAATTCTAAAAATCAAATACAATAAACACACACATACATGCCCCTTAAGCACATGGCTCGATGAGTTTTGTGAGAAATGAGTACAGCTGTACAGCCCATTCTGGTGGGAATAGAGATCAAGGTTCACTTTTTTTCTGCATAGACATCCAGTTGTTCCTTAACTATTTTTTTGAAAAAATTTTAACTTCCCCACTGAATTGCTGTCACACTTTGTATAAAATCTACCGATTGTATAGATGTGCGTATATTTCTGGACTCTCCTCTGTTATGCTGATCTATTTGTCTATCTTATGCCAATGGCATATGCTTTTTATTCCCTTCCCCACCCTTTTCCTATCTTTTATTAGATAAGTTAAGATTTTTTTTTACCTCCTATTTTTAACTTTTAACATATTCTATTTCCATTCCTTTGGTGGGTACTCAAAAATTTAACATACACATTTAAAGTCCTATTTTAAAAACTAATGTATACATAAATTTGTATTTCTAGCCTCCTCTTGAATAAGATGAGGACAATTTAACTTCCTTCAGAATGCTCCCTTCCCATCTTCCATGATTTTTTTTTCCTGGTATCATTTTTAAAACCAGATAATTAGACTACTTAGCATCAATACATATTTAAAATTTCTAAATAATTACATATTTTACAATCAATGCATTGTCCAACCAATTTTTGCTGATTTCTGTTCTAATTCTTCTTACATGACACAACTTTGCCTTTATTTTTCTAAGTCCATTCTTTAATACTTTTTTCAGGGAGGGTTTGTGAAGAATGATAGAACTTGATGTCTGGGTTTGTGAAAATGAATTTCAACCCAGAGATCTATACTCAAATGAACTATCATCTAGAGTGACTCTGTTTCTAAGCATGAGTTCAAGGTCTAGTTCCCAAAGGGTTTATCTTATATAGAGCCTCATATGAGTCACAGTTTTGTTTTGTTTTGTGTTCTGAAGACAATGTTTTAAAAGAAGTTTGAGGTTCACAGCAAAATTGAGGGGAAATACAGGGGAATTATGAGGTTCCTGCATACATGCATAGCCTCCTGTACTATCAACATCTCCCACTACAGTGGTATATTTGTTACAACTGATGATCCTACATTGACACATCACAATCACCCCATGTGCAGAATTTGCCTTAAGGTTCACTCTTGGTGTTGTACATTCTGTGGGTTTGTACAAATGTATAATGACATATGTCCACTGTTGTAGTATCCACAGTCTTTTCACTGCCCTAGAAATCCTCTGTGTTCTGCCTATTCATCCATTCCCTCCTCCCACTTCCTGGCAACCACTGACCTTTTAACTGTCTCCACAGTTCTGCCTTTTCCAGAATGTCTTATAATTGTAATCATACAGTATGTAACCTTTTCAAATTGGCTTTTCACTTAGCAATGTTCATTTAAGTTCTTCTGTGTCTTTTCCTGGCTTCGTAGCTCATTTCTTCTTAGGGCTGAATAATTCCATTGTCCCCATGTGCCAGTTTATTTATCCATTCACCTACTGAAGAACATCTTGGCTGCTTCCAAGTTTGGGGAATTATGAATAAAGCTGCTGTAAACATCCGTGTGCAGGTTTTTGTGTGGACATATTTTCAACTCCTTTGGGTAAATACCAAGGAACATGATTGCTGGGTCATATGGTAAGAGTATGTTTAGCTTTGTAAGAAACTGCCAAACTGTCTTCCAAAGTGGCTGTACCATTTTGCATTCCCAGGCTGCACGCTTTAATGTCTGCTTATCACCAGGGTTGAGTTCTCCTGGTGGTTGTCTCATGTTTTCAGGTTTGGCTATATGTTTTTAAACTTGGGGAGTAGTCTGCATATGTTTAGGCCTCCATCTTGACAGACTTGTTTAATGTCAGGAAAAAGCACTACCCAGGCAGAGACAAAGCAAGTGCATAAACCTTACTGTGGTGAGAGGTTTGGAGAGAAGGCCCTGTGACTGCATTGTCATTAGAGAGTGAGAGCTAATAAAGTGAAACAGCAAAGGCAGGTCCAAGCAATACAGGGTCAGGGTAAGGAGTTTGGAGTTTGTACTCAGTGTAAATGGAAAACCAAAGAAATATTTTAAGCAGAGAAAGTGACATGATCAATTTCAGATTTAAAAAAAATCTGGCGTTTACTGCTGGGTTTTGCATTCTCTACTCATCCAGCTTCTGAGAGCTCCTGATTTTACTTTCATATACATATGTCTGTTTCCACAGCCTCCAAGCATTTACATTTTGAGAATGCCTTCCAAAATACAAATAAGTTTCCAACATTAGTCTGCAGAAAAGAATCATGTTAAAGCACTGGATTAACTCTAGGTTATAAATTGTATGACTTGGGGTATAGCTCAGTGGTAGAGTGTGTGCCTAGCATGTATGAGGTCCTGGGTTGAATCCCCAGTACTGCCATGAAAAAAAAAAATTAAAAAATAATAAAATTTAAACTGCATGACTCAAAGGAATCAAACATGTAATTTGTGTTAGATTTAGCCAAATCTTGCTAAATTAAACTATATCAAGTAATTAATAAATGCAGTGCAAGAAAAAAGAGTGAGATGGAGTAGGGAAACTATAGATTAAAAGAGACAAAAGAAATATCAATGAGTCATTATGTAAGGAACTCATATGGATCTTGACTTAAACGAAAAAAAAAGGTATTTGTTAGATAGTTAGACAATTTAATACTGACTATATACTTCATAATATTAAGAAATTCTTACTTTATATGTGATAAGTTATTTTAAAAGCCCTTATCTTTTAGACATACTTACCAAAATATTTTCAGATGAAATGGTATGACATCTGGTATTTCATTCAAAATAATATAGAGTGGGGTAAGTGGATGGAAGTATAAATGTAAAAAGGTGGCTCTAACTAGATAATGGTTGAAGCTGGAAAATGGGTACATGGAAATTGATGATACTCTTCTGTCTAGTTTTGTATAGATTCGAAATTCTACAATAAAAAATTTTGAAATGAATTAGAAGCAATTTTCAATTTTTCAACATTCAGTAAGAAATATGATTAATCCATACAGACTTTCCAGATAAAAATATCTGTGATCCTTTTCCTTTCCAATGATTCTTTTCTTGATTTTATGTATTTTCCATCTACCTACCTACTATGTGTCAATCATCTGTCTGTCTGCTGCCTGTCTATCTATCCTTACATTGTCAGTAACAACTGTTCCAATGCCTGATTCAGAGTCTCTTGTCTTAATTGGATTCCTCCAGAAGCAGACCCTGAGATGAGGATTCAAGTGCAAGCAGTTTATTTTGGAAGTACAGGAAACATGCAACAACATGGATAAATCTCACAACACAATGCTGAGCAAAAGAACCTGGGTACAAAAAATACATGCTGTAAGATTCCATTTATTTGAAATTTTAGAACAAATAAAACTAACATACTGTGACAGAAACAGATCAGTGGTTGCCTAGGACAGGGGTTCAGGAATTGACTACAGAGAATCACGGGGGAATTTCTAGGGTGGATGGAAATCATCTAGGTTTCCATTGCGGTTACCCAGGCGAACAAACTTTTCTATTCACTTTCGTGACTTTTGTCTGATGTCATCAAACCACAGACTTAAAACGGGAGCATCTTATCACATGTACATTTTACCTCAATGCTGACTAAAAACAAAAATTCCTTTTACCAGATGACAGACTGTCAAAATTAAAGAGATGTATAAAGTGACCTGAACTTTTAAAAGAGTTACTTTTAAAATCTTCTCCTTGGCCCCTTCTCAGGGAAGTTTAGTGAAGAGAGAGCTTTCCATAGTTCCTCCCCCTCCCTTCCTTCTTACAGAAGAAAGTATTCTTCATCAAAGAAATGAAGAGTGAGTTTGTATTTGACTTTTTATATTCAGAGTTGATTTAATATGAATTAGAATTTTTGGAACCAGTGTTAATTCTAACATTTTTCAGTATTAAAGCCAATAAGCTTCCAACGTGCATAATTCACACTCACGAGACAGCTTTTCTTGGCTTCATAATTATTACTTCCTCTCACCTTTGGAATCACTGGCATTTATTTCGTCTTCCTTGTTTTTTTGTAATCTCTTCATCTACGAGAGGAAAGCTCAGGGAGACTTCAGGTACTTCTTCATTTTGCTCTTCTCTTCCCAGGTATAAATAGTGGAAATATCCAATTTCTGATTTGAAAATGACTGTCTGCATGGGTGCTGGAGGGTGTTTTGAAACCCTCTCCTGTCATCTAGCTGTCTCTGCCTCAATATGAGGATAGATGATTTCAGCCTCTTTCTTTCATCAGCGAGCCTTCTGATTCAGTGGTTTCCCACTCCATTCCTGCTGGAGGCTCTGGGGCTCCTGCTACTTTTGCTAGAGATGACCGAAGGAACCTTAGAATTGTGCACTTGGCCATTTCTATTGTAATGTCTGAAAATCCAGGTGCCAACTTTCCCAGAATCAAGGGGATAGAGGTGATGGTCTGTCGAACAGATCTTCTGAAATCGGCTGCAGTGTTACCCCCATCCTGTATAATAACCCCCCAGCCATCAACCTAACATTTTGGGATTATTTTCTTCCCTTGAAATTTCTCTCCAGCAACATCTGCATTGTAGTTTATCTCATACAGCTGATCTCTCCTGGCTAATTCAGAGAAACATTTTTTCCCCCTTCTAAACCCTGTCATCCAATTCACGGGGGCGGGGAGAGTTCACAGGGATTAAGAAAAACCAAATCCTAACCTCACTAGTGGCCAGAGAAATGCAAATGAAAGAAACAAGGTGCCACACCTTGTACACACAAGATTGGCAAACATTTTAAACTTGATATTTCTGTTATGTATTGCTGCATAACTACCCCCTTTAAGACTCTTGGAATCTCTTTCACATAACAAAGAAGATCTAGCAGACACACCTTCAAATCTGACATGTCAAATTCAGAAAAAGGTCTTACAGGGGCATTCTTGTCTTTGATGATTTACCTCTACACTTATTCTAAGACCAAATTTTATTGACAACACTCCAGATTTGATCTTTGCATTTGTCACTTTCAGGACCCTTTGCATGCTAGAAAGACCAACCACCCTGGGCCCTCACATTTTCTCTAAATTCTGATACAAAACTGAACAGTTCCTTCTATAGCTCATCTATCTTTTTAATTTATTTTTATTTTTTAAACCATATTTACCTATTTTAGCATAGGTAGCCATTTGTCACTTTGAACTTTCTACCTGGGAATTTCACTGGCCAGATCTTACCAGATGACATGGGCCCTAGTGTTGACTTCTAGGAAGAAGCCTCAGATGCCTTGTATCTTCTGCTTCACAGAGAGAGTAGAATCTGGTACCTGGGTTAAATCAGAAGGGAGAAGTATATCCCAGACTAAGAATTTTGTAATTCTAACCTCCTGGGTGGGGAAAATACTGAAATTCTACTCCATTACTTTTGAACCTTGAACAAGTGAAGACTTTGTAAATATATGACTCCAGGTAGAATTATCTCATAAAACAGTGAAGTATGCAAAACCTTTGAGGAGTCCAATATTTGTTAAACAAATTCACAGGAGTCACTAAAAACATTTATGTGAGATTATGTAAACAAAAAATTTTTTTCATTCAATTTACTATTATCTTTTAAATATTTACTTTTTGCAAAACCCTGCATGAGGAACTTGGCTTGGAACCAGACAAAGAAGAGTAAAGCACAGTTCCTGCTTTCAAATTGGGTAATATTTCATAAATAGGACCTAAATGAATATGTGATGACATACAGTTATATTCCAAGTGAGCAGACATCAAATAATTGCTTTTCTAATTTTTTTTACCATAGATTCACATGTACAATCTTTCTTAATAATGGGATCACTAATGGTGAGAATATTCTATTTGTGAAATTAATCATTTATGTCGAAAACAGATTGTTAATGTGAATTTAACCAGTACCATCTGTAAAAAAGTAATTTAGAAAAAAGGAAATATTAAAAAAAACGCCAGGTAGTAAATATGATTCTGAGAGATTCTGGTTGGGAAAAATTAGGGTTTTATGGGGCTAGGGTATTTTATGCCCGTTTCCCAATTCTATTCTTTCGTTTCCTCCTAGAGCGTGACATGAAATAGCATAAGCTTTGGGGTCAGTAGATCTGGAATCAAATCCAGGCTCTATAACTTAGAAGCTGTGTGACACTGGGTGAGCTACTGAATGTCTCAGTACCTCAGTTTCTTCATGAGAAAAATGGAGATAATAAACTACATCCCCAGTCCATAACTCAGTGCCTGGATGAGTGTCAGAACTCAACATTCGTTAAAGAAACAAACAAATGAGTAATATCAGAAATATTCCTGGTACATGGCTGACATTTAATGACAAGGCCCTTTTGGATGGCTCTCACAGTGATATCAAAGGAACTACTTTTACCTTCCTTTATTTTTCTCCAGATACCATCTGGAATCCACCATTATCAGCTCCCTTTTCGGTTAAATACCTGCTAGGGTCTCTGATGGTCAAGGGTGGGTTTGTGTTTTATTCTCTTTATGCAGTTCAGATTTTGTAGCCACAGACTCCAGAAACTAGTCTATGGCCTGAACTGCACACTTGTTCCTATGTCATTGCCATTTTCAAGAATGGGTGGTTGCCATTCCAATGGAGTTAAATGAGAATTTTAGATGGGAGCAGAGAAGTGTCAGGTTCAAGGGCAGAATCCATTTGTCATGGGTGTTATAGGTGGTCAGGTGACATCAGAACAATGATCACAGCAGAGGCTGGAGATGGGAATGTGGGAGTAAGAGCGTGCCATGAGTGGGAGAAGAGGAAGACAAGTCACTGGGAGTCACAGTCTGCCAATATTTGTGAAATTGTTGTCTTCATTACCTGAATGGTCTTGTTTGAATCTGCTGCAATTTTGCAAAAACACAGGGTTACCCCTGCTACTTATGGGTTTTTTCCTACCATCCAAACAATGCTGATGGAGAGAAATTAGCAAGTGATACTATCCAGATTAAACATGTCTTAGGGAGAACAGTGCAAATCTGTACAAGTGAGTCAGTGAGTCCAAGGAGTCCTGTCTTACAATGAATGTCTGACTCAGTGTGTCTTTTTTCCTGGGGCAAGTGAAAACACAGGGCCACATGGAAAACAAGCTAAATATGTCAGAAGGAAACTCTAGGATATAAAATCAAGCTGTTGGTTTGAAAAGTGGTGTCCTCTCTGTGCAAATAATCTATGTGTCCAAACAGAGTTAAACGAGGTAGATTTATGGGTTAATGACTTTCCTAATGATTAAAATTAAAATTAGAACTTACTGTGCAATGAGAAGCTTTTAGTTCTACAAGAATTTACAGAGCCATCAAATAATTTTAATAAACTGTTTATGTGAGGATATTCCTACAGGGAGAAGGGAGGTCAGATCACAGACTCTCTTTAAGAAGCTGCCAATACATCTTGGACTCAAATGATAAGGCACCAGCATGTTCTCTGAGGCTGGATTGGGAAAATATAGGAGTGTTTTGGCAGGCAAGAGGGGAAACTGATATCTTTGTAAAAGGCATAGCAAAAAGTAGATGTTCTCTGGGGAATTTTTTGAAACTACCATTAGAGCTACATCTTTTCTCCCTCCTAAAATAGCCCACTCTGATAAAGTTCATCAGCCAACTTGAATGACAGTGAATGGATGGTTATTCATCTATGAGTGAAATGGTGATTGCCTTTTAAATTGCATTTTATCTCCATTAGCTAGTGGTATTCAGTTTTCCTCTCCAAGATCTGGGATGGCAAAAGGTTTCGATTGCCTGATTTGGGGACCTGGTCTCTGTGGCATTAACTGCTGAAGTGTCTGCTTCTTGCACAGATAGTCCTGCTCATGCCCAGAGTCACAAACATCCCTGATCCTATTGGTGGCGTCTTCTTTAATTGGGTGCATGTTTCCCCAGAGACATGATCAAATGCTTGTATTTTATAGTATGATTAGAAATAAACCTCAGCACTGCGAGACTGAATACACAAATGGACAATGGCCAGACCACACGTAAAAGTAGAACTCTGATTTATAACCTGCAGCAACCTGCCCAAGAAATCAAACATTTATCTATGATAAACAACTCAGGAAGCCAGCCTGCTAGAAGTCAGACTTGGCAGGAAGTCAGATGGTTATCTCTAGTGACAATACAGGAAGCTGAAAAATAACTTCATAACAATCAGTCTCAAATGGTCAAAACGATTACTGCCCCTACTTCCAATTTAGGACCAACTAGAGAAAGAAAAATATGCATCCCTAACCAGTTGCATAGGATGCCCTGTTTCTAGTTGGCTGCTCAGTTTCCCCATGCCAAAAGCCTCCAAGCAAGGCATCCCCGACCCTTCCCTTTTTCCCACTATAAAGCTTTCCCACTCCTTTGCCTGCCTTTGAGTCTGCCAGAGCACAAGCGATGGTGACTGACTCCCTTGCTATATATAGCAAGTGCAGATTAAAGTCTTTGTTCTCACTTGGTTGGTCATTATTTCCCCAGCACTAGGGTTTAAACAGACTCCGTAGGCCAACCGGTTTCCAAATTATCCAACTATCATTCATTCACTTGAGAAACGTTTACCAAAATCTTTACTACGAGCCACATCCCTTGCTTGGTGCAAGGGCAAGTGGAAAAAAGGTAAGATATAGTCCCTGCCATAGAGGACAGTAGCTCGATAACTAAGGAGATGAACACGAGTGACTCAGCAACCGAGTCGATGAGCATAACTGTGCTGGGCAATGTTCTCCGAAAAACAGTAGGCTAGCTACTGGTGACGTGAAATAACCTCCAGGAAGTGTGAGGGGCTGAACATTTTTACTTTAAGAGTTGTAAACCTGAATGCAGATTAGAAAAAGGATTTCAAGCCCTACCAAACCCATGATTTCACAGATATTACTGCTTTGGGATGAGCCTGAATCTGTCAAAGTCTAGTCAGGAGACAAAAGCCATCCTTATTTTTAACAGGAGAAATCCAATATAAACAATTGTTAATGGGGTATTAAAAACCTCAAAAGGCAGAAAAAGAACATTAAAGGTTATCATGCAGGAAATTGCCACTCTTAGGGAAGAGGTGGAAATTGTTCAATTTAAGAAGCTTCAAGGGCCCTGGAGAACTGAAACTCAAGACTTCCAACAAGAAGTTGCTGCTCAGTTAAAACCAGTGTCTCCTGAGCTGAGGGGGGGGGCCTGTAGGCCAGAGAAGGGGGCACCAGGTGGGATCGACAACTGTGACTGGAACACCAGCCTCTGTAGGAATGAAGAGGTATTTGGTGGGTGACAAAGGAATAGGAAGCAAAGAGGAAGCAGACAGAAAGGACCAAGCCCCTTCTTTCTCCTCTAGCCTTGCCATCTCCCTCTGGGCTCCATCAGCAGATCTCAGTAAGAAGCCAGCTGGCAAAGGACAAATGGGGTTTGCATAGTGCCAGCCCAGCACCAAAAGCTGAGTGTAGAAGAGTGTTTGAATCTGAGAAACTATAGGTTAATATCTGCTACAGTCCGTTCCTTGGGCCACTCTGCAGACACACATGCATGCATGTATGCGTGTACACACAACTAAACTTCTCAGGAAAACAACTCTATTTCTGCTTAACAAATTGCAAACATCCTTTGCACAAAAGATGTTCTCACTTTTTCCAAAATCCCAGCAAACACTTTATCGGTTTCTGGGAAACAGTCACATTATTCATCTCACCTCCTGTCAGTTACAGCTAGAATTTACTCATAGTCCCATATGAATATTCTGTCATCTCAAGACTTAATAGCAAAGTTAACCCTACAAAAAAATGTACACAATAAGAGGAAGGAGAGAGAAGAAATTAGTACGTACACACACACACACACACACACACACACACGGAAAATATGTAAAACTGCTCAGTAACCTGTTTGTCTATTTGGTCGCAAGGTTGTAGTTAATAAACTGCATTCTTTTCCTACACACTCCATGTTTCCTCTTTCCTCAGCTAGTATCTCAGGTGCTCAGGGTTGATACCTGGTAGGGTAACCCAGGATTTCATTGTTTAAAGGGTCAAAATCCTTCCCACCTCCGAGGTTGTAGTTTTCCATTAAAGTTTGTCATTGGACTTTGAAGTGCTAAAAAAAGATGCCCTGGAGAATGCTTAGGGTTCAACATCCTTCTCCATTACCCACTGTGTAGGAACAACACAAATGTTCCTTTGTTCTGAGGATCACACAAACCAGCCAGGAGAGTTAACTCCTTTGCCTGTTAGTTTAGTGGTGAAATGACCAGATTGTTTCTGTCTTAATGGAACACAGATCTCCAAACAAGAGGTCAAAATTGAAGGACAGGAAGCAAGAGGGGTTACTGGGTGTAACAGTGAGAGGAGTCACTCCATCTCTGCTCGATTCCAGACCTTACATTCTGAGTACATGAGAGCAACGGCCCACCTGAGTTGTCACTGATTCAATGCATAACTTACGCTTTTAAGATAATGGAGTGTTGCACCCCTCCTAGGGCCATAACCGTTCTCACTGGACCATTCCACCATTCTCCATTGCCTACTGCTCTGGGTGATGGGGTATGTGCTAAGACTAGTGAATTTGAGACACAAGCTCCACTTCTTTTACTGTGAAATGAATTGTCTATCAGATGGGACGCTGTGCAGAATATCAGGGAGGTGAGTAAGACATTCTGTGGAAACCATTCTAATCCATGGATTGTGGTGCTGGTGAAGCACTGTGAAAAACTTCGGGGCTCTGCCCCAGGATGTAGAGGACTGGAAGGTGTACCGTCCTCACCTTCACAATGAATTAGAGCCAGATAAACTTCAAATTCACAACTTTTCTCATAATTCACTAGAGAACTGAGGTCACAGAGCAATGTAAACCTGAGGAGATTCAGAGAGAGGAGACACACACCTCATTTAATTGCTAGGAACGTGATTAGATGAAGTCAGCATTTCTTAAAGTCCTAGGTACATATCTCCAGATGGACAGAAAGACACAAATATACACTTAATTCCATGGAGTTCTGTATTTACTACTTAGAATAAGGTTCAGATTAGGAGATGGTCTAGTTGGTGATAAATTCTACCAGGCTGTACCATAAGAAAACGATAATTGTTTTTGACCCAAAAAGGCAATTTCTTATGGTTCAACCTAATACATCCCCGTATTCTAAATTAATGGCTGTCTTTTTAAAGTTACTAATTAGATAACAGATCCAATACTTAATTAGACTAAAATCACTGTTTGAAAGTATAAGAGAATAGAAAAAGTATATGAAAACAGATGCCTATTACAGAACAAGTTTTTTTTTTTTTTAATTAATTAAAGGCTTTAAACAAAAAAATATAATTCCACACAATGACAATGACTTGGTAACATGGAAATACTTCAGGCTGGAGAGGCATGTTTATTCTTGGTGAATTTGCACGTAATAAATTCTTATGACATTATATACTAAAATATATGTACGAACTGGCTTGACATGATTAACAATTTAAAGGAGAATATAAACATAAGGGCAATTTAAACACGGGTATTAATTTATGAGTCAATTCAAGGTCAGGGACTGGAGAGTGACATTAAAAAAATCTGAGATAAAAAATCTTCAGGAAGCAAGATTGTATCTATATACCTTTGAAGATCAAGGGCTAAAAGTCCATTCTTGATGAATACCATTAAGCAAAGGATGTATAACATCCACCACGTATCTGTTCCCAAAACAGCATGTTTCCAAAACTATGCATTGCTTTACAAATAAACATTACAACATTAATAACCACAGAGAAACCAACAGAGTGTGTTCTAAAATGTGCTCTCACAAGGCATCCCTGAGCCATACCTTAAGGCATCCATTTTAATCTTGGGGCTTTAAGAACATCTTCTTTGCTTTAACTGGTTTTATGTCTCCGTTTTCATCTTCTTCATAATTGGCCCGGTCTCTTTTTTTAGCAAACTTTTTCCCAATTGTCCCCACCAAGGTCTCATATCTGTTAAGACACACAGAACATGTTCAGTTTCAAATAAAAAAGGTAGGAACCAAGTCCTGTCAAGAATATCAAACCAAATATGCAACAGAGAATAAGAAAAATCAAAGCTATGATTAAAAGAAACCATCTCATTTAAAAATGAATGAATTTCTGATTAAATTCTTCACTGTGTTTTATTTTTGCATTATCCTAACTAAGTTGATATGTATATTTAAAAATATGTATTAGAAGCAGTACTAGAAATGAGTCCTCAACTGCCAGCCTGTGACAGGTATGAATGTAACCCAGGCCATGTTAGAGAAAGCAGAAAGTCATCTTCCTGCTGGGGTACTCCCCTTTCAAAGAACGGCAGACCCATAGGTCGTGGGGCAAAAACAGTGCACATGTGAGAGGCAACAAATGCTGGGCTCAGATTATAAAGTTGTTCCAAGGTAACAGTTACCTTCTGGCCATTTCTTCATCTGACACATCGAGCTCCACTGTTTCATCTTCAACAACTTCTTCTTTGTTCTTGGCATTCATCTGAAGCATTAATTTCTGAAAAATACAACAATGCTGGCTAGCAGGGCTGGAAACAGCTTGTTAAAGGAACTGGTGTCAAATGTATCTGAAAGTAAACAGTAGCCACAGAATCTCCAGGAGTAGACAAAATTTACAAGGGGTTACCTGTAATACTTTATTCTACAACGTGCTAAAAGAAATCAGCTCTGAATTAAAAAAAATAATAAGACAAAGCCCTGCTAGATTAGACTTAGTGTTAATGAGTTTAAATTTGATTTGATTTGATTTGATTTGATTATTTGTTTTTTATTGAAGTATAGTTGATCTACAATGTGTTAGTTTCTTGTGTACAGCAAAGCGATTCATTTATACATATATATATATATTCTTAAATTGTATTTTAGATCATACATCATATTAGTTGTATCTAAAGCAGGCACACTGCTAACAGACTATGGTGAGTAGGGGAAAGAAAAAGTAAACTTTCAGATTTCCTCTGAACTTCCCACCTTTGAGCCAAATGGAAGAAATACTACAATCAAGAGTAATGTTAAATGCAGTTTTGGGTGGTAGTTGGGAAATGGGGCAACAAACTGCTGGAAGAACTGGAGGGCTGGCTCTGGTATAATGGGGGGAACTGCTTCAGCTCCACACATGAGGGTGGAAAATGCACTGATTTCCACATGATGTCTACATGCCATAGGTCTCTCCTCCATCTCTTTTTCTCATATTAATCTTTTCTTGATAGTTACTCTCTGACAGACTTTAAAAAAAAATACGATACTTTCTTTATACCAAAGGCAGGGTGAGGACGGAAAAGCAGAAGAAAAACCAGTTTCAACTAGCTTTCCCAACATTTAGAAGAGTGAAAATAAAGTAACTTCAACAACACAAGCTCTGTGAGGGCACAGACCTGATGCATTTCCAGTGTCTCAAGAGGGCTGATGCACCACGGGTACAGAGTAAATATTTACTGAATAAATAGACCCCATGGCAAGTGTCACTAGAAACAAATACAATATTAAAAAATGTGCTCTAAGTACATCCTTCTTATAATAAAGTGCTCTCAAGTTGGTATTATTCTTTCCATAACCAAGTATCTCAAACTTTTTTCACAATTTATGACAGATCTGCAAGTTGAACAGCATAAAACCTTTTCCCAGAGAGAATGAATTCAGTGTTACAGACTGCCAGTAATTAAAGCCACTTTCTAATAACCTCCCACACCAAATTTGGAGGCCAGATCAAGTCCTTTTCCCACTGGACCAGCCAAACTTTGGAGTCCTTGCCAACCCAGTACCCTAGCGTCTGGGCATCATCCACTCATCATCTTTGGTATCTTTTCCCCTCTTTTACCTCACTGCCCTCTTTCTCTTCCTAAAGCTTTAAGAAGACCAAAGAGAGAAAAGTATATATTAAAAACAAACATTTATAAAAAACAAACAAATAAAAAACACTTGTAGTGTTGATTTTGTATAAAGTAAATATAACACCTTAATTATCATATCCCTCGAAAAAAGGGGAAAAAAAGAAAATCAACCTACAGTCTTTAAATAAATTCTAGCATTTAGTTTGGTTAACTTGTGGTTCCTTCTGGTATTCTCAGACACGTGGTTTTCAACCAGGGATGATTTTGCTCACCAAGGGACCTTTGGCAATGTTTGGAATGTCTGGATACATTTTTGGTTGTCACAGCTGGGGTGTATATGTGTATCTGGTGGGTAGAGGGTAGAAGCCAGGGATGCTGCCCAACACCCTACAATGAACAGAACAGGCCCCACCATCAAGAACAATTTGGTTCCAAATGTTAATAGCACCAGCGCTGAGAAACCGTGGCTTTAAGTGACAGCTACAAAGCTAAAAGCTTTCTATCACAAACCTTCATTTCGTTGGTCAAGTACCTGACAGGATGGCTTTTAATATATGAGCCGCAGTTCTAATAATTATTTGGAAATGAAGGTCTGTGCTTCTCTACAAACCTGAGGCAGGAAGCTTAAAATGAACAGCTCAGTTATAAAGTGAGTATTTACTTCTCAGACAAAATTTCCAAAGATTCATTTAAAAATCTATTTACAAGTTTGGATTAAAACTTGTCCATTAAAAAGTCAAATTTCTCAATTTTAAGTAACTTTTTTTTCCATTAGAAAAGATACATTTATAGATATCAGAAAATATTTTTTCATAATAGAATCATCTGAATAAAATCCTGACATTTCTCTAAAGGACCCGAGCTAAAATTCTAATACTTACAGTGGCACTGTCAGGGGCTGTATACTGCTATATTAAATTATCTACTCAATTCCACCATAAAACTAGACTGCAACGCCTGCAATTTCTTTAAATAGCTACGGAAATATTTGAAGACTTGCTATTTTCTATATAATGAGGAGAATGGTATCTGGTGGGGAAAAACCTAAACCCAATTATTAGCAGAAAGAATTCATCTGGAAAAATTTTAAATTTGAAGCAATTATATGTAATACCTCAACCTCAGGATTAAATCCTCTGAATGACATTCTTCCATAAAGAAGATCTTCACATAACAAGAAACTCTGCTCTTCTATTATGAAACTCCTAAATGAGAAAATAAACCTATATTAATAGCATGTCTACTTAAAACAAAACAGAGCAAATGAAAGTCAAGATTTTAAATGAAAAATAGATCTTTTGGCTCTCAGTGGAATCAAGTTAAAATACAGTAAGATTTCTGACCTAGGTTTAGAAACAAAAACTGATTAATTTCGCCAACATAAGCATTAGGAGGCAAGAGCAGCAGGGTGGAGGCACATTCTCTTCTAAACTCTACATTTAATTTGCATGAATGCCTACACAATGTAGAGACCAAAAGTATTTAAATAAACTGGAATTTTCCAAACTTCAAGCAAAGTTTCTTTGATGTATACACTACCCACCCAGTTCTTACTAAATTTACAGAAATCAGTGTTCTAGGCAGCTTGAAGGGTGTATTAGTTGCAGTTCTCAGCTATAAATAACAATGACTGACCCTGGATGACTTAATCAGAGACGTAGTTTATTGTAAGGATACCAGGTATCTCACAGAATCACCGGGGGAGCTGGATGAGCAGAACTGGAAAATGGGCAGAAATAAAGGTGGCTAGGTTGTTGACCCCCAAACCAAAATTATGCTATAAAACCTCCGTAGGAAAAATGATGCTACTGCTGGGAGGGCTAAACAGTGGACATTACAGCCGGCATCAGAGAGGCCACTGCTGCCCTGGAAAAAGGATGCAGGTGTGGATGTTTCAGTCTCCAAAAGGGGCTCTCCCCTGAGTCACCAGTTTATGACCCCAATCCCAGGTGAACACATCCAGCCACAGACCAGCTATCAACCATAAAGCAAGGTAGGAAATCAAAAACTTGGCCTTTATGGCTTCTTTAGCAGACTGTTTCTTGTCCGACAATCCTGCCCTGCTTCTTCTCAAGATCCACTCATTCATTCACTCACTCAGCAAACACTTACTAAACCAAACTATGGGCCAGGCCCTGTTCTAGAGCTGGGGAGACAGCCATGACTGACAAGAGTCTCTGCTTTTGCAGAGGTTACATTCTAGAGAGTGATGCCAGGTAATAAATAAAACACTTAGACACTGGATAAAGATGAAGAAGGTTATTCCACTCCTGGTCATAAGGGAGTAACTGGTATCAAACCAGCCCTCCTACTGTGACCAATAAATTCAGGCACATGTTCTCCCCAACTTTTTGTTCAGCCTTTTCCAGAAACTTGGGATGCCCTCTCAACTACCCAATCTTGTTCCTTGCAGAGTGCAGCTGATAAAACATCACCATTGTACCAAGTAAATTATCTCCCTCATGAAAGCACCATACACAGGCATTTAAGCATTCATTTAAGTCAAAAGATGGAACTAAATGGCAGGAACGGATTCATAGCAGAACCAATGGCTCCTCAGAAAGCTTTCCCATGGGTTTCCATTGACCTGGTAACTTTGACATTAATATAAAAAGGAGCATAGGTGTTTTGTTACCTATAAGCATAGTTCCAAAGATGAGGAACACTAATTGAGTTAGCAAATAAGGGAAATATTCCAAAATTTAACTGTAAACATTTTGTATTTTAATTTCCCCATTTTTATTGATAAGGATCTATAATTTTAGAGCTAAAATATATAAGAAATTACCTATTTCATCTATTTTTGCAGATGAGAAACTGCTACTGAAAAAAAAAAGCAGATTTGCCGAAAGCCACAAATAATATGTACGTGACAAAATAGGGCAAAAACTCACTGTTAGGAAACAATTCTTTATGGGCCTCTTATTTCTGCACATCCTGTGAGTGAGGCATTAAATGCCCGTTTGTTCCAAACTATCTTTCCAAGGATATGTGTATAGTTAACAGCTGTGGAAGACAGAGCTATTCTCCTCCAGAGCAAAGCACAGATTTGCTTAATGTCCAGTATAATAAAGATAATGCTTCCTTGGAGGCGAAAGGCAAGTTTGTTTGCAGTCCAATATCAAAGATTCAGGTTTCCTAAGCTCAGGACTTCTCTGCTGTGATGCAGACCTACTGTGGGTACCACATTAGCCCCAGTGGGATTACGGAAAATGATGTCAATGTGATGCTCATACTGCTTGGTGTGCTGTGAGTAATAAAGTCCTTTGTCTCTGACTCAAGAATCTCATACCTTCCCCTAGTATCCATGAAACTGCAGCAGGCCCATTTGTTAGTTCGCAAGTAGGGTCAGTTTCAGATCTCACAGTTCTTAAAATTCACCGGGCAGAGATACACAGGCATAAGAAACACAGTAGCCAAAAATATCTTTTAAGCAACATCCTATAGCAAAGGGGTAATTAAACCGGCTATACTCACATTCTTTATAATGGGCCACATCCTTTGGAGAAAAATAATATGGCAACAATATACCAAAACCTTTGATATGGTAAACTACCCCAAGGAATTTATACCAAGTATCCTATATCAGGATCCCTGGAAATAGACTCTGAGACAGTTACTTGCAGAAGTTTTATTGGGGAGTACTGTTTGGGAGATGGCCCTCTATGGAAATGCAAGATTGGGCAGATGGAGAAGTTGACCTACAACGTGGCTACACTAAGGCCCCAGTTGCTACAAGGAGCTCTGGAGTTAGGAAAGCCCTGCAGTTGTTCCAAGTTGAAGCAAAGCAGCCAGACCCTCATCCCCCTTCATAGCCTGGTTACTAAGGGTGTCCTATAAGGGGAGGAGTGAGCACTGAATAGCTCTAGCAGTCATCACTGAATTACAGACCAATATAGCTGAATGGCAATCTCTAATTTCACAAAGAGCAGTAACTCTCTGGAATAATTCAGATGGTACAATCAAGGAAAATATTCACAAATGCAAATGAGCAAAAAGAGTGGGTGAATTTCCTGATACTTAGGTATAAGTAAATACATAAACTGCTAATATTTATTGTGCTTTCACATGTATTACCTTATTTACTTCTCATAATGGATGTGACAGGCACTATTATCATACATAATATACAAATGACAAAACACAGATAAGATCACAAGTAAGCAAGTGGCAGAGGTGGGCATCAAACCCAGGTCCTTCTGTCTCCAGAGCCCATGCTCTTAGTGAACCAATCCAATCCAGTGGCTCCCTATTTGGGGTGTTAAAACACACACATCCCAGGGACATAGTCATTTACCCCTCCAGCTCCACTTGCCATTCCTCCCACTGCCCCCCGCCATCAGTGCCTTGGGAGGTTGATCTGAATGTAATACATGGAACAGTTCTCTGCCTATGGGATTACCTCGGTTGGCTGTGCCCTCAAATACAGGTAGCAGCTCCTGTAAGATGCTCTCTCCACGCAGCCTGTCTTCAGATTCAGTAACCACTGCCTCCCCCAGACCCTCCAGGCCTGGAACGGAAATAACTCCTAATGACACAAGCCAGGGTGCTGCAACGTCCAGAGTGGCTTCCCTACACCCTGCCCACACTTCCGTAGTCTCTGTTATACTCTCCTTACTTACCCAACCTGACAATGCCATCTCTTCCTGCCAACATCCCAAACTGATATCCATACCTATATGTAAACAGAACACTGAATGATGGCAAAAGGTTATAACTTACTGCTATGGTCTAAATGTTTTTGCACCTCCCCTGCACCTGAAATTCATGTTTAAAATCCTAATCTCCAAAGATGATGGTACTAAGAGGGGAGGCCTTTGGAAGGTGCTTAAGTCATGAGCTCATTGAGCATAGGGCCCTCATGAATGGGATTAGGGCCTTATGAAAAGAGACCCCACAGAGATCCCTAGCCACTTCTACCAGGTGAGGACACAGTGAGAAGGTGCTGGATATGAACCAGGAAGAGGGCCACCACCAAAACATCAAATGACCATGCTGGTATCTTGATCTTGGACTTCCAGCCTCCAAAACTGTGAGAAGCAAACTTCTGTCGTTTATAAACTACTCAGTCTGTGGTACTTTGCTATAGTCCCTGAACAGACTGAGACATTTATCTCCCTAGGAAAGGACTCTAAAGGTCATTTTTCTGGGACTAATATGCTGTGTTGAGGGGGTGGGGTGGAAAGAATACTGAAAATAAGATACAAACTGTCTTGCTTTTCAATAAAATTAAGTGCTATCTGGAATACTTTGAGGCAACGCATAAAATCAAATTGTAGCTCCTTACCAGTAATCTTCTCTTCCTACCAAGCCCCACTCCCAAATCCATACCATCTCCAACATCATCTTCTCTTTCCTCACTAACATCTTGCTTCCTCTGAGAAACTGTACAGAAAAGCATGCAGAGAAGCAAGCAGAGAAAAGAAGTTACTTTCCTTCCATTCCTCCTGGGGGTCACATTTTCTATCTTTAGGGAAGGAGGTCTAAATTTCCCAAAAAGATCCAGAAAAGGTCAGCCAAATGAACAAGGGAAAATAATATGTTAAAAAGGAAAAAATTAAATTACAAGGTATGGAAAGAGAAAAACATTAATGTGCTTGAAGATAATAAGCAGGATCTTCAGTCATTTGACAAAGTGTAAGTAAAACTACCATAACCACGAGATTACTAACTGTAAGGAAAACATCAAGGAGAAATGATAAATAGCTTCCAGAAGAATTTAGATAAATTAATGATGTGAATCCCTTACTCTCATTCAAAATTATTTATCATGTACCAACTAAGCTTAGAGGTGCAAGAGAAACGGTCTAGTGTGTTATTAAGCTTCAGTAGTGACTAGCTGGTGACTCTGGGCAAGTCATACTCTCTTAAGTTTCAGTTTCCTCAACTATAAAATGGATGGAATGACAGGAGCCAGCTCTCAAGTTTGCTATGAGGATTAAATAATTAAGAGATGTAAAGTGCTTAGCCCATCCAGTTCCCAGCACACACTACAGACTCACCACACATTAGCTAAGAGGACTGGTACTAGAAATAAAAATTAAAAAAAAAAAAGTAAACAAAAAACTCTTGACCTGCCTTTACAAAGCTCAGCTGGAGAATTCTGTTACTGACACAAAACTGGAGAGACCTGAAATACATATCTAATCTTCAAAACTTAATATGACAGAGAGCACATTACAGATTCTCATGAAAGGTCACCAGTTACTACCAGAGACTTAAGGGCTAGATTCCTTTACTCAATATGAAAAAAGAACGATGTTATAAATGATGGCCGAGGACCAAAAAAAATGTACAAATCCAAGTAGAACGCTTGGAGACTTAATAATGAAAAAAATTATTTGCAAGGCTAACTCAAGAAACTGAATAAATGCTATTTCATGGGTTTTATGTCACTGGGATGATGAATCACATTTATAGGGATTTCCCTTTGAACACCCAAAGTGTCATAAAAAACCTACTCTTTCTCTTTAAGCTCAGGCAAATCCAAGTACCAGTGCTCTTCACTAATGATTTTCTTTTCTTCCTCTTCTAGTTGTTTCTTGGTTTCCGAGTCCAGTCCTCTTTGCATGAACTGTCAAAATAAAATAAAATCAGTGTCAGCTACTAATATTCCCAACTTACAAAACTCATTTCTCCAGGAATCCCATCTTGTGAGTGAGGCTGGGGGTGGGGCAACCAAGCAGCTGAGCCCCGTCCTTGACAACATTACACTAGGCGGGAACCTGCCAGAGCACATCAAAAAGCAACGTGTGTACTTTCTTCAGAAGTCTTAAAGAGAGCTTTACCAATTTTAGTTTTTTTCTGATTTAATAAATCAGGCAACAACAACAAAAAACTGTACTCAATAAGTGTCACATTAAGTATTGCAGTTTTACATAATGGCCAGTGAGGAAAGGATAAGGCCGAAGACTGAACCACAGGCCAGGACAGGCAGGTATGAGACAGAACGTGAGAGGGGCAAAAAGCAGAAAATGAGAGATGCAGTACTTCCCGAATCTCTCTCTGACCCAGGGAGCCCATAGGCCTTTGAATCTGCTGATCTCAGTCTGCAATGCCCTTCTCAAGTTCCTCCACCTGGCCAACTCCTAGCCCTTCTGACATGTGAAATCAACCCTAACAGCTGCAGGCAAAATCAGCATCTTTTCCCTAGGAGCTTCCCATGGCAACTTCAACTAGTCTCACAACATTTAAATTTCTTGAGTATCTGTCTCTTCTGAAGACCTTCAGGGCAGGGACTGTGTCTGGATAGTCTCCTTCATCGGTATCAGCACGATGAAAGACGCATTGCAATGGCTCTATAAATACAGACTGAAGCCAAGCTGTACCTGTAAGCCTAGTCTTCACTCATACCTATCATCTGAAATGCTGATCAGCTCTTTATTCTAAAATCTGCAGAAGCTCAACTGAAAATAGGCCAGTGGAGAAAACAGCACTCCTGCTGCTAGTCTCTCCCTAGCACAAACAAAAGCTTTAGGGAGAAGGGTACAGCTAAGTGGTTAGAGCACATGCTTAGCATGCACAAGGTCCTGGGTTCAATTCCCAGTACCTCCATTAAAATAACTAAATAAATAAACTTAATGACCCCCCCCCAAAAGAGGCAAAAGGGAAAAAAAAACTATTTCCTTAGAGGACAGGCGAATAAACCAAGAAATTAATTGCAGCAAAATGATAAAGCATCAATATTGGAAAAAAATACATTCAGAAAACATCCAGGAGCCTCCCAGAAGTTAGGTCCAGGGTTCCACTGGTTTCCATTTACCCCATTTCTGTCCCTTATCCAGGTTCCATATTACTGTCCCCTCTATTCTGGTTCTTCCAAAAACACAAGCATTTTTAGGCATCAGAGCTTTCCCAATGACTATTAAGTGAAATGACAAAACTTGAAAAATGTTCCCAAATAAAATATAGTGATAACATCAAGTTCTGAGGAGAATGTAAACAAACTGGATCACTCCTACACTGCTAGTGTAGGGAAAGTAAAATGGTATAACCTCTGTGGAAAACAGCTTGACAGTTTCTTACTCAAATAAACATGCACTTACCATACAACCCAGCATCTGTACACTCGGGCATTTATCCCAAAGAAATGAAAGCTTATATTCACTCAAACAGTTATACAAGAATATTCACAGTAGCTCTATTTGTAATAGCCCCAAACTGGAAACAACCAAAATACTCTTCAACAGGTGAATGGTTAAGTACGAGGATACTTCCATACCACAGAATACCAGTTAGCAATAAAAAGGAACTATTGATACGCTCAACAACCTAGATGGATCTCAAGTGAATTATGCTGAATGAAAAAAAGCCAATTTCAAAAGGCCACATACTGTATGATTCCATTTATATAACATCTTTGAAATAACAAAATTACAGGAATGGAGAACAGATCCATGGTTGTCAGAGGTTAGGGTGATAGAAGGGAATGGGCGTGGCTACAAAGGGGTAGCTCAAGGGGACTCTGTGGTGACAAAATGGTTTTGTATCTTGAAGGTGGTGGTGGTTACATGAATCTAGACATGATAAACCCTCTCTTTCACACACAAAGGAGTCCACATAAAACGGTGAAATCTGAGTAGGCTCTGTGGATGGTACCACTGTCAGTTTCCTGGCTTTGCATTGTACTTGAGTGAAATAAGACGGAGGTGAAGGGTGCACAGGCTCCCCCTTGTACATTTTTTGCAACTTACTGTGAATCTATCATTATTTTAAATAAATGTAAAAGCACTCTTTGCACCTAAAGTGTTTTGGGTCCTCATCCTTTTACCTCTGTGTCCATACCCTCACCACAGGAAAGCACTGGCAATTTCTGGAATGCATACCTTTTACTTCCCAGGCCTTCTGCCTCTGCTACTCAACATCATGCTTCAATTTTCTGCCTGGCAAAATAGTCCCCTGGGAAGGCTCGGAGCACGTGTCCTTAGGGCTTCCCCAGACTTTTTTGGCCAAGCTTTTCCCAAGCCTGTTCCCATAAAAGAACACCTTTCCCTACTTCTAAGACAGCCTTAGGAACACTGGCTTATTCTCATTATGCTTCTGTGTCTCCCAAAAGACTGAGATTATAAATAGCAGACCATGTTTCTTGTTCATCTTGTGTTATTGGTATTCAGGCTGTACTTGGGACACAAGAAGAGCTCCATAAAGGTTCTCTGAATATATCGTAACTCACATTTCACCTCCACTGTTAAAATTCTTTCCATTCCCACCACCACTGCAACACAAACCCAGATCATCAGTTCTATCTGGTCTTCAGGACTACAATTTTGTCCCTTGTCGGGTCCTTCTTTCACCAATGTATTCTTCACAGGACAGTTAAAGAAACCGAGAAAAGTAAGAAGCACAGCTAATGATGCTTTCCCCGGTGCTCAACAGCTTCCCAATGCTACAAGATTAAGGAAAAAATCCTTAATCTGGCGTAAAATTCCTTGCATGTAGCGACTACTGGCTCCTTTTCCAGGCCCATTTCTCGCTACTTGCCTTCTAGACATACTGAACGACCCTCAGTTCTTGGGAATTACAGATTTTGGGCGGGGTTTGCCTCTCGAATTTCTGAAGTCGCTTCCCCTCAGTTCATGTCGCTAACGGCCCCCACCCTCCCACCTACCCTTCAGTTTCTTTTCCCAGACAGCCCAAGTAAGTTCCCGGGGCTTCCGGCGCTTCTAGCACCACTGCACTCACTACACTGTGTCCTAACAGCCTGCTTACGTGTCTACTTCTCCTACCGGGCTGTGGGCTTTATGAGAGAATCCGCCAGATTTATAATTTGGTTCTCACTGCCTCACGCGAAGCAGAAGCTAAGTGAATGAATGAACGCGAGAGCTAGAGGTCCTACAGGACCTCTCTAGTGCGCCGGTACACCCGCCGCCTCAGCCCCAGGCAGGTCGGGAGCACCGGGTACCCCTGCCGCCCGGCCTGCCTCCCCCGCGTCCCCGCACCTTCATGCGCAGCAGGTTCTTGGACAACTTAGTTTTGCGCTCCGCCGCCATACTGAGTCCCGCCCGGCGCCGTGCTCCGCCACCGGGCCCGCCGCGCATGCGCGAGACTGCGTGCGTCTCGGTGTCGTCTTACGTAGAGCGCGTCGTCCCGCCCCGTGGCTCCGCCTCCGTTTCTCGCGGCTCCGCGCGGCCTGAGCTTTTCGCGAGTCGCCTCAGGGAGCGCTCGTCTCGTGAAGAAACTCGGGGTGAAGGCGCAGGCTCAGAAGCAGGAGCGAGAGCGACTTGACTCCTGGAAGGAGACTCCAGAGTAGCAGCAGCTGGAGGACGCCAGAGTCCCGGCCGCTGTGAGCTGTCGGCTGCCTTCCCCGAGGGCTTCGGCCAGGCTTCCTCAGGCCCGGCGGACCCGGTCCTGCCGCTGACTCAGTCGCGCTGGTGAGAACTTTGGGACAGTTGCCACACTGGCCGTCCCGCCCAGGCCGTTTCTTTCACGTGTTTCTCACGTGGATGGCGGGCTTCCCATGTTCTGCATCGCTTTACGTGTAATAGTTCATTTTATATTCACAATAAGCCCATGAAGTGGTCATTATCCCCTTGTAGTTGAGTCGGCTGAGGTGCAGGCAGATTCCAGAACTAGCCCAAGGCCAGAGTGAGGGAGGGGCCCAGAAACCCAGGCAGTGTGGCCTCAGAATGGCCTTTAAATACTTATACGAATACAGTGGCAAAGTGCTAAATCCCCCTATTAACAGTTGTGTGCGTCCTTCAACCTGAATGACCTTTCTGTGGAGTAGAAAGGATGGGGAGAGACATGAGCATGAGAAGGTGACTTTGTTTTAACCTAAAGAATTGAAAGAACATTGCAAAGACGATAGCTTTCATGCTTTGTATTCCACCTGTAGACAGTTTCCACACTATTCACAGGTGTTACACTTTGGAAAACAAACAACCTAATACCTTTTCAGCCAATAGCAGGCATTGTATACTGAATTCTTGTGCTGGGTACCACACGTATACTATTTTATTTAATCTTCTTAAGAACTCTGAAGAAAGTATTGTTGTCATCATATATATAGGGAACCTGAGGCCCAGAGAGGTTAAGGGACTTACCAGAGTTCACACAGCTGGTGTTAGACCTGAGATTAATAAAAGCAGTGACACTTGATAAAAACATGGCCATGCCCTGTCAGGTTATCTCAGAGGAGTAAATAAAGTCATTACAATGTGGTACATGTGAGACACTGGGCTAATTTCTGAGGCACAATAGTGTGTAGAAACACATGAACTCCCTTTCCTGGGACTGATATTCTGACGAGTGCAATGGCAGAAAGAAAATGGTGATGGGATAGAGTGACTTTCACGGTTACTTTAGATAAGGTGGTCTGGGATGCTCTTGGTCATATTACAGTGCCAAGGCTTGAAAGTTGAAAAAAACCTGTTGTATGAGAGGTTGGAGGTAGAGTGTACTAAGAAGATGGAATAGCAGCTGTAAAAGTCCTGTAATGAGAATAAGATGAGTTGTCATAGAGTTTACCAAGTGGGAACAATAGAGCTAATCATATGTTAACGGGTTGAATTGTGTGTCCCTTCAAAGTTCATCAGAATTTTGTCTCAGAATTTGGCTGTTTTTGGAAACAGGACCTTTAAAGACCTTACAATGAGGCCTTAGAGTGGGTCCCAATCCAGTCTGACTGCTGTTCTTAAGAGAAGAAATTTGAATACACAGGGAGGCACCAGGAATGCACACGTGTAGAGGAAAGACTCTGTGAGGACACAGTGAGAAGGCAGCCATTTGAAAGCCAAGGGGTGAGTCCTCAGGAGAAACCAGACCTGCCTACACCTTGATCTTGAACTTCTAGCTTCCACAACCATGAGAAAATAAAGTTTTATGTTTTAAGCCACCCAGCTGTACTATTTTGTTATGGAAGCCCTAGCACACTAATACATCACAAAATTACCTATAGATTAAAATTGTAATAACAGCCCTATGTGAAAAGCATGGGGTTCATGAGAGGGTATAGCAAAGGCACCTGAACCATTTTGCCCTGGAAAAGGGAAAAACCCTTAAAGGTGTGACATTTAAGTTGAGATCTGAAAGGGGAGGAGTTAGCCTGGGGAAAGTCCTTCCAATCATTTAGTTAGTTTGTTTTTTTTTTAAATGGTGATTGAACTGGTGATTGAACACAGGACCCCACGCATGCTAGGCACACACTCTACCACTGAGCTATACCCTCGCCCCCAATCATTTAGTTTTGTGCTACCATAACTCCCATACATCTACAGAAAACTTTTCATCTTGGAAAACTGAAACTCTATCTGTTGAACAATAACTACCCATGCTTCCTCACCTGGCAACCACTATTCTACTTTCTGCCTCTATGAATTTGACTTCTGTTTGGGATTTTGAAAGAACTTCTGTGGGAGCAGAGGTGAAGAAGTGATCCATTCTGACTGTCTGCATCCAGGAAACAACTATGAACTAGATCTTGAAGGACAGGCACGTATTTTGTCAGAATCAGAGGAAAACAGGTCCTGACAGAAATAAGATCATATGTACACCAGCTAAGGATGCTAGAAGCTCCATACCATCCCTGTGGACCTCTTTTGTTACCAGTCTGCATGCACAATGGATTCTGATTCATTTTCCTGAAACTGGTTTCATCATGATCACTTTCCTGTTCCACAAGTTTCAGTGACTACTATTGCCTGAGGAACAAAAGTCAAATTCTACAGCCTGCTTCTCAAAATTCTGCATTTTTATATGACGAAGAAAATGCTTATAATTAAAACTGTTCCCTAAAGTCTCTTCCCACTCATCAAAATGTGATAAATGAGAAGTGATTTAAGAGTAATAATGTCATTTTAACTTTGAATTAAACTCCTAGACAGGGAGAGTAACTACTTGATCTCTCTATGCTATTGAACTGTAGAAAACAAGGTAACTGGGTCTCACACTCAGTAATGTGTTAACCTGTTTTAGGGACACGGCCAAGAAAACATCCTTTTTGGGGGAAGAGTTTTTTTTTAATAGGTCTTCACACAATTCCAAATCCTTTCATAATGAAGTTTGTTAGAAGTGTGGAAACCTCCAATTCCTTCCAGTTACTAAATCCATCAAGAAAAGGTCCCATGCGTCTCTTCACTCTTGTAGCTGATGTTATCTAAGGCTGTGCAGCCCAGTACAGTAAGCCTAGTCATGTGTAGCTACTGAGCACTTGAAATGTGGCTAATGTGACTGAGGAATGAAATATTTAAATTAAAAACTTAAGCAATATAACATATTTTCTTGTTGTAACATTTTATTGTTTTGGAAGGACTGCATTTCACTTAACCTTTAAAAATTTAGTATCTGCATTGAGATGGGCTGTAAGTGCAAAATATATACCACATTTCAAAGACTTGGAACAAAAAAGTAAAATATTAGTATTTTTCATATTGATTGCATGTTGAAATAATAATAGTTTGGATGCATTGGTCTAAATAAAACCTAGCATTAAAATTAATTTCATCTTTTAAATGAGGCTACTAGAAAATTTAGAATTATATATATCTTATTTTTCTTTTTCTTCTCTCTTTCCCTACCTCTCTGACTTCCTCTCCCTCCCTCTCTCTCCTCTCCCCTCCTTCCTTTTGGTTTTTGTTGTTGTTGGTTTGTTTTGTTGTTGTTTGCAAGTACCAGAAATTAATAATGGCTTATTAAATAAAATGGGAATTTATTAGAAGGATATTGGGTAGTTCATAATAAGGCTCAAGAACAAGGGCAAGTTAAAGGGACAGAAACCAGGGCAACCCAAGGATCTAGGAAGCAATAATCAGTGTCACTGCAGAAATGCTGAGCACCAACTGATGTCTTTGCTTTTAGGACACTCCAATTTTCAAAGTCAAAGAAAGAATCTCATTGAGTCTTAGCTGAGAAAGTGCAAGATATGATTTATAGTTCCCATAGGACTGTACAAAATAGGGGAGGGTAATTCTTTAAAGAGAAATTGGGTGCTATAACCCAAAGAAGATAATCATTATAATAGCGAGAACAGCAAAGCCAAGGTCAAGTTTCTATTTAAGGCAGGAAAGAAGACTGTTCCATTGACACAGCCATGGAGGATAAATAAGGAATGTCAGCTGAGAAACACATATCCAACATCAGATCTACTTTCTCACAGAAAGTGCTCCCTCTTACTGCTCCCCTGTTTCATTCAATAAGCAAGTATTATAAGCACATTTTGACTCTGGGTCAACCAGCCTAAAAATCTAAGTAGTGTAACACATCCTTTCTGATCTTATATTCAGTCAAGTCCTATCAATTACTTGTTAGTGGTTATCTTGGATAAATTAGAACTTAGTCCTGAAAGTGGCCTTACAGGACACCCAAGTAAGTAATTTCTAAACATCCGTCCTTAGTTATGACAGAATGACCAGAGGAAATTAAAACATTGAAAATAAATTATTCGTTATCCTAAATGATTCTGAGGATCAGCCAGGATTTAGAAACTACTGAGCCACATGAATCTCCCAATTATATAAACCAAAATTGCATTAACTCAGTAGAATTTAGGTTTGTGAACTTTCCATTTTGCTTTCTTTTTATCGTGCCCAAAGTCATCCTTTCTTTTCCATTGCCATAAGGTATCCCTGGCTAAATCTTACTACTTTATGATCATCTAACAGTCATAGACTCCTATTTTTTTTCTGTCTTCTGTGTTTTTCAAATATTCTTGAAAATCTCTTGTGTTCTTAGCCCTTTGGTGGATGCTGGGGAAGCTACCCCTTCCCTGTCCATATGCCACAGACAAAGGAACAGTTCTTAAGTACTCTCACAGAGAGAAGAGTTATGACAGGGAACCTAGTCTGGATTTGGGGAGCTTGGAGAGCCTTCCTTAGGGAAGTGGCATCTAAGCTGAGACTTCAAGATGAGTTAAGAGTATGCCAGACAAAAGGGAAATGTGGGAAGAATGAAGGAGTGTGTCAGTCAGGTGGAAAGATGTTTAAGTGATGCATGTTGTATAAATGATAAGTCTAGAGTGGCAAGCTAGGGCCAGATCTTAAAGGCCATATGTTAAGTTGGTAGGATTTTGAAAGTTGCTGTGAAGCTATTGAAATGTTTTAAGCAGGAGAATGGCATCATTTAAAAATTGCACAATAGAATTGTGTCAATCTTAAGATCACTCTGGCTGAGCAGCAAATAATTATTAGAACTAATAAATGAATTCAGTGCAGTTGCAGGATATAAAGTTAATATGCAGAAATCTTGCATTTTACACACTAATAGCAACCTATGAGTAAGAGAAATGAAGAAAATAGTCCAATTTACAATTGCATCAATAAGAAAAAATGCCTAGGAATAAATTTAACCAAAGAGGTGAAAGACCTCAACTCTGGAAACTATAAGACATTAATGAAAGAATTTGAAGATTATACAAATAAATGGAGAGAGATAAGTG